CACTGTTGTGGCCTCTCCCGTTGCGGAGCACAGGCTCCGGACGCGCAGGCTCAGTGGCCATAGCTCACGGGCCCAGCCGCTCTGCAGCATGTGGGATCCTCCCAGACCGGGGCACGAACCCGTGTCCCCTGCATCGGCAGGCAGACTCTCAACCACTGCGCCACCAGGGAAGCCCTAGTTTGCTTTTTTTTTAAATTCTTAAAAATATATAAAACATCTACATGGTTCCAAAGTCAGTGTTTTGAAAACTGGTAAAGGTAAACTGTAGAGCATTTACCCTGCCTTTCCTATACAGACTGTGTTACTAGGTAACCAAATAGCAGAGGATAAGTTTCTCCTGTATTTCACCTAATAAAGAAAGACTTCCTTTAACATTTCTTATAGTTCAGATCTAGTAGTGATAAACTGTCAGTTTTTGTTCGCTTGGTAATGTTTTAATTTTTCCTTAATTTTTGAAGGATAGTTTGGCCAGATATAGAATTCTTGGTTGACAATTTTTTTTTCCTTTTAGCACTTTGAATATTTCATCCCATTACCTCCATATTTTCTGGTGAGAAGTTAGCTGTTTGTCTTATTGAGGATTCCTTGTGCATGATAATTTTCTTCTCTTGCTGCTTTCAAGATTCTCTGTATTTGGCTTTCAACAGTTTGATTGCAATGTGTCTCAGTGTGGATCTCTTTGAGTTTATCCTACTTGGAGTTTGTTGAGCTTGGATGTGTAGATTCATGTATTTCATTAAATTTGGGAAAATTGTGGACATTATTTGTTCAAAAATTCTTTATTCCCCCTTTTTTCCTCTCCTCTCCTTCTGCCAGTCGCATAATACCTATGTTGATATGTTTGATTGTGTTCCACAGGTCTGTTAGACTCTGTTCCTTTTTCTTCATTCTTTTTTCTTTCTATTACTCAGGTAGTAACTATTCATCTCAATTGACCTATCTTCAAGTTCACTGATTCTTCTGCCTGCTGAAATATGCCATTAAGTCCCCCATTATTGAACTTTCTTTTTTTTTTTTTTTTTGGCGGTATGTGGGCCTCTCACTGTCGCGGCCTCTCCCGTTGCGGAGCACAGGCTCCGGACACACAGGCTCAGTGGCCATGGCTCACGGGCCCAGCCGCTCCATGGCATGTGGGATCCTCCCGGACCAGGGCACGAACCCACATCCCCCGCATCGGCAGGCAGACCCTCAACCACTGCACCACCAGGGAAGCCCTACTGAACTTTTTTGAGGCAATTTCTTCATCTCTAAAATGAAGAAAATAGTAACTACCTGATAGATTGTTGTAAGACAAATGAGACAAGGAATGTAAGTGTTTACTTAGCATCTGCAGCATGTGGGATCTTCCCAGACTGGGGCATGAACCTGTGTCCCCTGCATTGGCAGGCGGACTCTCAACCACTGCGCCACCAGGGAAGCCCCCTGAACTAATTTTGTAAAGTCTATATTCTTTGTTATGTGTGGCTAATGACATGTGTGGCCTCTCTTATGTTAATTTATAGGCTAGCTAGTGATTTGACAGTTTACTTGTATGTTTGGAACAACAACAAAATCCCAGCCTTTGCAGATGGCCTGTGTGTGTGTGTGTGTGTGTGTGTGTGTGTGTGTGTGTGTGTGTGGGGGT